CCCCCCCCCCCCCCCCCCCCCCATGGTCCCCAAGCATCAACCACACTGACCCCTCACACACTCAGTCATGTGATCACACCAACAGTAAACAAACAAAACACCTTATTATCATTTATAAAGTTAACAAGTAAAGAGAAAATAATAATATTACATTATATCTCTTATTCACACGGCATGAATGAAGTCTATTTAACTCAGATATAATATCACGGCTCTGCTAGTATCCTACTAGATTTATATTTAATGTTATATATCATAAATACAATATTTATATACATATTATAAATACTATATTTATATTTATTGTTATACATATTATAAATACTATATTTATTGTTATACATATTATAAATACTATATTTATATTTAATGTTATACATATAAATACTATGATATTTTTATTTATTGTTATACATATTATAAATACCATGATATTTATATTTAATGTTATACATATTATAAATACTATATTTATATTTAATGTTATACATATTATAAATACTATGATATTTATATTTATTGTTATACATATTATAAATACCATGATATTTATATTTAATGTTATACATATTATAAATACTATATTTATTGTTATACATATTATAAATACTATATTTATATTTAATGTTATACATATTATATATACTATATTTATATTTAATGTTATAAATACTATATTTATGTTTAATGTTATACATAAGAATACTATATATTTATATTGTTATACATATAAATACTATATATTTATTGTTTATTTGTTTATCACAAAGTGGTTTAAAACACACTACAATAAACGATGTTTGAATCGACAGAAGTTATAAAATGAAGTGAAAGTTAAGAAAGAGAATAAACCTGAAGATTAAACAAGTCCTTTGACATTTTATCGTGAAAGATATTAACGTTTGCTCACCAGTAGGTCGACAAAATACATTTATTTATTATTTTATTATTTTGTTTGTTTACATCTGTAGATTTCTACTAAATTCACCAAAAGTTACTTTACATAATGCCTAATTTGCATATTTTAACATAACATTTCAGTAAACTTGTAATACAATAAATACTGATCTTAATGTGAGTGATGAAGTGGTGAAGTTTCATGGTGATATCT